GAAAGAGAAGAAAGTTGAAGTCGTCATTTGTGATGTGAAGACAATATCCATTTGAAGGTTTTACCATTGACGGCGAGGGTCCAACTGAACTAATGTCATCCTTCTCAAAATGGATAAATGAGGGTCTTTACAAGCATCATGCAACAAAGTAAAATCGTTCAACTATTATTAGTATTTCTTCTTGCTGTCCAGTATATAATTATTTATAATAATCACACAATTGCAGAAGAGAAAAGGATGATCAATACTTATTCAGTTACCCGAATATGATTTTGTAGTTGCATTTTCAAGGAATAAGGACTGGTTCTACGTAATGTCTCAACCCAATAAGTGCTGGCCTGATGAGGTAAAAACATGTCCACTTTTATGTTTTGATTAATATATGAATATATATATAAATTAATACAGAGATACACTTCTTTGATGCATCTGTGCAATATGGGCATGTCATTTTTTACTATTTGAGTTAAAAGTCGAAGCAACAGAGTCATTATAATTATCGATATACCACTACTAGTTATTTTTTTTTTCAAAATACACATTGACAATGCTAGTGTTGTTCCTGAATATGAGGATAAAATCGTTGGCACTATGAAAGAGTTTGGTATAGCTTGTTGACTGCCTTGACAATTGACTTATGATGTTTATGTCCCTATAAATAGTAATGAGGACTTCCATTGAGTCTTGGCAGTAGTTGCATTGAAGGAACGGTGCATAAAAGTATATGATTTGATGTCTTCATCTAGGTCTAACAGAAAATTGTCCTTCGAGATTCAAAAGTTGTCTACAATGTTGCCAAAGTACCTTGAGTTAAGTAAATTTTTTTTAGCAAAAAAAGCGAACCAACTGTCAGTTCTTGAATGTTACCAAGGAAATAACAAATCTCACCCATTCGAAGTCAGAAATGTTAATGGTATTGCCCAACAAGAAAGCAGTAGTTTGTAAGTAAAACATTATTTTTTTGTCTTATGAATATTGAAATGTGATGTAATTATATTTTCTAATTAATGATATACAATGTAGAAATTGTGGACTTTTTTCCGCTGTGTATGCTGAGTTTTTGAGTGATGGTTAAAAGTATCATCTTGTGGACTTAGTGCTGAAACCCTTCACATGAGATATGTTTCACTCCTAGGGAATTATGAGATTTAAAGGCTCAAAATGACTATGTTAGTAACAATGAAGACCCATAGAGGCCTAGACCTACAAAAGTAAAGATCAATGAAAATGTTGTGGTTAACACCATTGATTAGATAGGTGGTTATGTATATCATTGTGAATTACCTTTTTGTTGATAAGTTGTATAAAATAATTGGTGAAGTGTTAATTTTATTTGATAATATTAATATAAATAATTTTTATGATTATTTTGATTTTGTTTGAACAAATGTCAATTATGATGGAAAGGAAAAAATGTGATTTCTATGGCAACATATATAACTTTTGTTTTAAAAGAACGCCACATAATTATCTGCATGTGTACCAACAAAAAGGATACATGTGGTAACATATTTCATATAAAGGAGATATGTGGTAAGATATGTCACATAAAGGATATATGTGACACCTTTATACTATATAACATATGTCACACAGAAAGGTGGTATGTGACCCAACAAAACATATATATGTGGCAACATATGTCACACTTTGAATTGTCAAAAGTAAAAAAAAACAAAAAAAACTTTGATACAATTGTCCCTTCATTTTCCCTCTCTCCACTCTCTTTCTCCTCTCTTCTATAAAAGTCGTTTCCTATTTCAATTTTTTTACTAATATTAGTTTTCTTTTCTCCTGTTTCCTTTTTTCTCTTCATCTCGTTTCATTATTCCTTTCTTCACAGATTATTGTTCTTGCAATATTCTCTAGAACATCAGTGATAATCTGGTGCGATCCTCTTCTACAGCAAGGCATCGTTGTCTTCATCATTTCTAGTTTATCGTTGATATCTTCTCAGGTAATATTTTATTAGGGTTTGAAATGCATGCTTACTTGTTTGCCGTGTTTTTAGTGGTTTTATCACTCTTTTGGTTGTGTAGTTATTCTTTTTTGAAATATTTTCTAATTTCAAAAGACTTCATTGTTGTTCGTTGGATAGGGTTTAGGGAGGTTTTTTTTGTTGGTTCATGTATGACATTGCATCGTATATGTTGTTTCTATTGTTGTGTACTGTGTTGTGTATTTTAAAGAGTTCTATTGAAGCTCATGTATGACATTCAAATATTTTTTTTTGTGGTTGCTGATACAAGGGGTACAAATATAATGACTCCTGTCAAAAGAAAAATTGATACATCTGACACAACAAAGATTCAGAAGAAGGCTAGGCCTAAAATTCCTAGAAAGAGGAATGAAAATACCACTCTTTTAGAAGAACTTGCATCTGAAGTAGTTTCTTCTTATCAAGTAGAACTATAATTTTCTTAAAAAGAATATGAAGAAATAGAAAGAAAAAAAATGAGGTTAATGATGATGGAGAAAGAGCAGTAGTAGTTGAGGAAGAAGAAGGAAAAAAATATAGAAGTAGTTGACGAAGAAGAAGGACAAAATAAAGAGTTGGTTAAGCAATAAGAAGAAAAAATAAATGAAGTTGATGAGGAAGAACAAGAACTTCATGAAGTTTGCGATGCTTCTGGTGATGATGAGATTAAAATTATAAATGCAAAACTTTTCCTGTGCATCTACAACCTAATGCTAATGGTTATAACATTATTGTGTCAGTATTGGGAAAGCCTTTCAACAATTTCAAGGCTATCCTCAAGAGAAGTCATTTAGAAGATTTTTTTAAGTCTAGTTGTTTCGATCATTTTCTTGATTTATCCAATGATACAACTCCAAATTTTTAAATGACCATGGTTTATAAAATTCTGAAAAGAAGGATGAGAATGTAATTAATTATTGTGGCATACCAATCTTCTTTGACATAAGAGAGTTTGTCATAGTTATAGGGTTTAAATGTCATCCTCTTCTTGAGCCCGTCCCTGAATACATTGTCAAAAAAAAATCACGAAGAAGAAAGAGAGGAGTAAAAAAAGAAGCGGGACAACAATCACTATCAACTGAGGAGCAGGACTTGATATCCCTTGTTGGCAAAAGCTTCAAAAATTCTGACTTAATATATTTGTTAGAACACGGGGATACACCAAGGAAGCATAAGGAGTCGTTGTGCTTACTTTGGTTTACACATAATATACTTTTGCCGAAAGATTTCAACAACAACATACAATTTAAATGGGTGAATTTCCGTCAGGATATTGAGGATTTCAATAACTACCCTTGGGTCATGAATGCTTTGAATTAACTCTCAAATACCTTTTAAACCTGTAGGAGCAAAGACCAGTAACTTGTTTGTTTTTTCATGGGCTTTCATGCTAAAGCTAAATGTTCTTAATATTTTTATATTATATTGAATAATTCAACATTAAATTTGTGACATGTTTTCCTTTTTTATAGGCTTGGGCATTTGAAGTCATTCCTCATTTGATCCATCAATTAATTGCAGAAGAAAAGATCTCATCTCCAAGGATATTGAGATGGTTGAGACATTAAAAATAAAATCTACCAAATGGGCATATTCTAGATATCTTTAACCCTTCTCTTGATGCAATACGTTATTAGTATATTACACTCTTACGTTGTAACAGATGACTCTTATGTTGCTATAGATGATCAATTTGTTGCAACATGTGATAGAAATGTTCCTACAGATGCCTATTTGTGTCAACCTATCACACATTTGTAGAAACATGACACATATGTTGCAACATATCACCCATCTGTAGCGGCATATGACCCGTCTATGGCAATATGTTACACAAATGTTGCTACAGATGCCCATATGTGTCAAACCATCACACATCTATAGCAACATATCACACATATGTGACAACATATCACCCATCTGTAGCAACATATGACATATCTGTAGCAACATATGACCCAAATATACTTACAGATGACTCATTTTTATAATTTTAGGTTGTGCATCCATGACTTTTCCTAACAGAAAATGAATTGCAAATGCCATGTCTAATTACTCTATGGTTGGTTAAACCTTATGTGATCCTGTTGTGGATAGAGTTATAATGGAATTGGCTGGAGTAACAACCATCAAAAGAGACAGAGTTATTAATGAATTAGTTGTTTTTATTGTATTGGCGTTGGTGTGGTGCTGGTGTTGGTGCTGGTGCTAGACAAGACCAATGGGCTACCTCTTGTAGAAGATGTTGTGGCTTTCTCTATGAGAAGTGCAAGAAACAAAAATTAAGATTCTATAATGTATCTTTAAACATTGAATCAAGTTGTCAATGAATTTAAAAACAAGAGGGGGTCAAGGTCATTCTATCAAAGAATGTTCGACATCCATATACTCCACACGCTAAGAGGAGGAAAGAATCATTTGCCAAGGCAATACAAAATCTGAAAAAGAAGATGTTTGAAGAATTGCCAAGGGCCGTAATAGAGGAAGTGAAGAAGTACAAAAAGTTGAATATTTATAAACGTGCGAGTGTAGCTGAAAGAACTTAAGTGTTGAGTCTGACGGGTGCAAAGAATATTCGAATAGAATACGACATGTATACTTTTACAGGACAAGATTTCAGGAACACGACAAGTATGAAAGTTTGATGGGATAACTGGGTAATTCTTCAAATTATAATGCATGTCTGTTTTATCTTTTCAATGACTACTCTTCTTTACTCTTTAATATTATTTTTTTCAGCATATTGATGAAATTCTTAACCTCATGCATCAGAGGCATGAGACATACTCGGAAGACTATGATCCCACAAATAGAATTCTAGATCTTAACTTCTATACCAACTTCCTAAAAAGATATAAAGAACTGAGCGATGATGCAACAACCGTTGGTGGTAGAAACATTAAACAATTAGTAGATGAGTTTGAATGGGATGAAGATATGATTGACTACGTCAGGGGCACTAGGCCATATCCTGGAGGCATGAATTGGATTGGTGCAAAAAGAATTTTGACAGTCATGAACATGAACAATATCCATTTTGTGACTCTCGAGATAATTTTGCACGATGGTCACATGAATGCTTATAAATGTCTGCTGAAGGGTATGGAACATACCAAATTTTTGACATACATACAATCGGTCTTCAAGTTGCTACCTAAATTTTTGATGTAGAGTGGAATAATGAATTATTTTTAGATGATTTTAATGGTTGTACACAACTATATAAGAATTGTCTATCCTCTATAGTATTCTTCTTGGTAATGCTTAATAATACAAGAGAAATAACACAAAGATTAGTTTTCACATGCTACAACATTTGGTCTTCTTCTTCTCCTTCATCCCCCATTCGATACTTCTTTTAATATGACTTTCATCATCAGTTTTCAACCCCCTAATTTTGTTCGCCAATCTGAGAATAACGAACTTGGATCGTATATCAACATCTTCATGAACCCTCCATCTAAAGAAGTTGCATGTATTCTCCTAAAATACACACCACAAAGAAAGAAATTTAAATTATAAAAAAAATAAAATAAAGAGATCTGAAGTATCCAAAAGAATAATATGTAAAAATGAACATATACGATAGCGTGGACAAGACCAAAATCTTCGACCTATATTGTCCTTCGACCATGAAGTTTGCATTAAAAGTAAGTTTCATGTTTGCAATAGATTTTCGCACTCAACATGGTATCATTTTCATCACTACAAATTTGATTTATTATTGCATTTGACATCATATCAAAAGTAACAAATACAAACAAAACTCATTCATTAGATCTATATTTCAAAGAATCACATTGTTACACAACCAGATATGGGAAAATCCTGAAATTTAATTTAACCAAAGGCCAATCAAATTAGTTGTGTGTTAAAAAAAGATTAAAAAAGATTGACAGATAAAAGAATGATAAAAATGAAATAATATCATTACATCCCGAGAGATCCGAGATCCATGCGAAGTGAGAGGTTGTATCAGATAGATAGAGAGAAAAAAAGTGCCAAGACTGATGTGGCAAGGATGAAGAAATTGAAAATACTATTCTTGAAATGAAAATGAAAACCTATATATATATATATATATATATATATATATATATATATATATATATATATATTGGTCTATTGGGCCAATTTTAGTTTTTGTTTTACAAAATGGGCTTGCGTATGATTGGGACAATTTTATAAAGTACTTACACGTTTTAAAAGTTTTTGCCACATAAGTCAGGTTTGTTGCAATTTTGCCAATAGAATCTGCATATGTTGGCACAGATTTAACATCAAGGAGGGACTAATCGATGAATTGATCGATTTAGGAATGAAAATATGAAAAGTTGGACCAAATTTTATTACTTAAGACCATAATTAATCAATAAAAATAATGTATAACACTTGGAGAAACGATTTACAAGGGTGCTATATAACTATCATATGGATTTACTTGGTCATTATATGATGAACTAGTGAGATGATAGTCTTTCTAAATATAACTGATAGGATCGAATTAAGGTTGTTGTATTGGACCATAATTTGTTACTTAGGCATGTCGTAGGACTATATATTAGTGTTAGATATTGAATATGGTGACCATTTAATTGAATTAAACCCCAAAAGACACATTTTATGATATGTATATGTTGTCACATATGTCAGATATGTTGCAATTTTCCAACATAATCTGCATATGTTGGAACTGATGAAACATCAAGGAGGGACTAATCGACGAATTGATCGATTTAGAAATGGAAAAATGAAAGGTTGGACAGAATTTTATTACTTTAGACCATAATTAAGCAATAAATATAAGGTATAACCCTTAAAACAACGATTTACAAGGGTGTTATATAACTATCATATGGATTTACTTGGTCGTTGTATGATGAACTAGTGGGATGATATTCTAGTTAACAAATTATGATTGACCATTTAATAAAATTAACCCCAAAATACACATTTTATGATATGTATATGTTTCCAAATATGTTAGGTCTATTGCAATTTTGCCAACAGAACTTGCATATGTTGGCAAAGATGAAACATCAAGTTGGACCAAATTCTATTCATTTAGGAAGTACCCCATAGATTTAACTATTTTATCTAATTCAGAATCACAACGACATAAGTCACAATGATATCGACCATAAGAGAATAGATGAGTAGTGCAACAAATTGCTCTTTCTCCAATCTATTGAGGTTTTTATGGGAACATTCCATGTAAATTATATCAGAAATAGTCTTGACATCTTCTGCGCCATGGTATACTTATATTGCCAATGAAACGTGTGTCTTCTCTTATGGATTTACCCCCTTTGAAGATTAAAATTATGGCACGCACATATCCTGCACAAAGATGACCACTTTCTACTGCTCGCTTAAGCATTCCCAATTCATTTGAATTTCTATGCTTGAAATAATCATACTAATGAAGAAATAAGACATTTAAAATGCAAAATACATTGCTGAAAATGTGAATACCTATGAAAAGCATTAAATTTACCACTCCTTTCCTGTATAAGACTTCTAAATTCCCCGATTGACTACATTGTTCAATGAAAGAAGTGCATCTCCGATAAAATGAAGATGTCTAGATAAAATTGGAATGCTACGCAAATTTACCTTTCGATATACAGAAGGTTGATTAGCGATTTCATTTAGGAGCCTGGAACTGAAAAGGTCAAATCAAATGATCACGAAGTCGAATTAAAGAACGAAAATTGTTTAATACATACATACCTTAATTTAACCCTGAGTAAATCTTTGAGGGAGTAGGAAGGAACCCTTTTAACGATAAGAGTTACTAGTTCCATCGGAAGGGATTCAATGTAATTTTTTTTCCTCAGAGTCATTTTTGAAGATTTCTTATCCTTTCTTCCCATTTTGTAGATAATTATATGAAAAGACCTAAGTTGTGTTCTTCTCATATAAATAATAATATAATTCAAATGTAATGGATACGAAGAGAAAGTTCTAAAGAATGCCAAAATTTTCAATTACTTAATGTTGCCACAAATTTAACTTGAAAGTAAGTACAAAATAAGTACATATGTTGCCACAAAATTCAAAAATAAGTACAAAATACAAAAATACAACATTTTTACCATGTCATATGTTGTCACATAATTAGAAAATAAGTACAAAAGATAAAGATGCAACATTTTCACCATATGTCATATGTTGCCACATAATTTGAAAATACGTACAAAAGGCAAAAAGACAACATTTTCATGATATGTCATATGTTGCCACAGATTAATTTAATCACACACAATCTATGAGGAAGAAATTTAACTAGATAATTTAGTTCTAAATCACAACTGCACAATTCACAACGAATATCGTTTTCATGGTCGCTTCCCCTGGGCCAACCATTCCTGCGGGCGATTTGATGGGATTGATGAATAGTGCAACAAATAGGTGTTTCTCCCAACAAATTAGATTCTGGCACCCACATTTGATTTAAAATGTATCGCAAATGGTGTCGACATTTTCTCACTATTTTGAGCTCGGTTTTTTTCATGTTGGCGATGAACATCAAGCCTTCTCTCATGGATTCACCGCCTTCAAAGATTGAAATTAGGCAAAGCACATAGGATGCACCAATGTGGCGACCGCGTGCTGCTTTTTCAACAATTTCCAAAGTAGTTGGATCATTATGGTTGAAAAATATCATACTACAAAAGAAATAACACATTTAAGATATAAAATACATTGATGAAAACGTGAATACATACGAAAAATATTATAATTATCATGCCTTTTCTCCGATACTATGCACATTTCCATAAAAGAGATGGCTTGTTGATTCATCGTCTATCTAGGTTCAGGAGGAAAGCTGACCAATTTTACCTTCTGATATACATAACGTTCATTAACGACTTCATTGAGGAACTTGGAATTGAGAAATGAAATAAAATGGTTAGAAAATGAAATTAAAAGGCGAAAATTGATTAATACAGACATACCTTAATTTAACCCTCATTAAATCTGTAGGGAATAGGAAGCAACACTTTCAACAATAAGAATTACTAGTTCACTCGGAATGGATTCAATGTAGTTTTTTCTAGTTGAAATCATTTTTGAGAAAATTAAATGAAGAAGAAGAGAAGACAACTTTTGACTTCTCCCTCCCTTATGTTGCGTTCTTATAAAATGCCAAGAAATTTGGAAAGTTGCAAGAGAAGAGATGACTTTTCACAACAGGGTAAAAAATTAAAGTCGTAATTTTTTTATTCATTAAACCTAGTTCAATGACAATAATTGTTGATTGATTAATTATATGTTGACAAGACTTACAAGTAATGATTTTGTAAAAAATATTGGGACATATGCGTAATTATATTTTGAAAATGTGTTTGACATATGTTGCAACATATGCAATATTCTATGTAATATCTAACAGATAATTGACATATGTTGGTACATATACGTTATGTTGTAATATACAACACATAATTGACATATGTTGGTACTTATACGTTCTGTTGTAATATCTAACACATAATTGAAATATGTTGTGACATATGCAATATTCTCTTGTATAATGTAAAACATAATTGTCATATGTTTACATAAATAAATTTGTTCAAAATTGATCACATCTTTATTCAGAGTTAACGATCAAATTCAAAATCATTGCAAAATTAACAAGGGCAACATCTTTCACCGTGAATTTGCAAATTATTTACATATTTTGTCATATATGTTAATTTAATTAATTCCTCGTATGAGGCAGAACATTGACAAGATCATCTAGTTCTATATCACACCTACATAAATCACAAATATCATATTTGTTATAGTGTATTCTCAAAGGAAAATCATTCCTGCGACTAGTTCGCTCAAATTGATGAAAAATGCAACAAATGGGTCTTCTTCCCAACAAATGAGGTACTGGCACATACATTCCACATAAATGTTTCACAACTGAATTCGACATCATTTCACTATTACCGACTCAGTTTTTTCATGTTGACAATGAGCATTAAGCCTTCATTCATGGTTTAACTGCCATTGAAGATTGACATTATGACAAGCACATACTCAGCTCCACTGTGGCCATCGTCTGCTACTTGATTAATCATTTCCAATGAAGTTTAATCACTACGGTTGAAAAAATTATACTACAGAAAATATAACACATTTAAAATGTAATATTTTAAAAAAGTGAATACAGTAGAAAAATATTAAAAATTATCACGAATTTTGTGTAAAAGACTTCTGAATTCCCTGATGCTCTATAGATTTCCAAGAAAGAAATGTCTTGTTGAAAAATCGACCATCTACGATAAGGAAACCTGAGCAAATTTACTTTCTGATATACAGAACGTTCATTAGCTACTTCATTGAGGAACCTTGAGCTTAAAAATGAAATAAAATGATTAGGAAATGAAATTTAAAAGCGAAAATTGATTAATGCAACATACCTAAATTTTGCCCTCATTAAATCTTGTAGGGATTAGGAGCAACCCTTTGAATGGTATCAATTAGTATTTCCGTCGGAAGGGATTCAATGAAGTTTTTTTAGTCATAGTGATTTTTGAAGATTTCTTATTAATATTGAATATTCAGTGAAATTTGAAAAGTTTGAAGAGAAGTGAATAGAAGAGAATAGAATAGAAGAGAATAGACAAGGAGAAGTTTTCAAATGCGTGTACTTTTTTTAAAAAAAGGGTAAAATTTGAAGAGTCGTGTCATTAAAGTTTTTTTTTCTTCATGAAAGTTGTTTCAATGTCAGTAGTGATATCATCACATTACACGTAAGTATTTTTAAAAATATGTTGGTACATGTTCATTTTTTGTGGTACTTATAAGACATAATTGACATATGTTGGGGCATATTCAATTTTATGTTGTAAGATCTAACACATAAGTAACA